TTGATACCATAATATATGGTTGTCATCTCATAAAACATGTTTTATTAGAAAAGAAGACTATATATGAGCAAAAGCCAACTATCTCTACTCCTTCATGATGTGGGACTAAAAAAAAGTACATGAATGCTATGTAAGCTTAAATGTGAGCTTGGGCTTTATTGGGCCATTAAATTGAGTTTGTTGGGCCACAAATTTGGGTTGGTTAGGCCACGAATTTGGGCTAGTTATGTGCAAAATTTTTTAAATTTTGTATTATAAATTTGTTATGATGTATATTTATAAATTAATAATACAAATTTATATTTTATTAAATATTATTCTTATTACACATTTTTAAATTAATATTATAAATTTATATTATTATATTAAAATTTTTAATTTGTTATAATGTATATTATAAGAATTTATTATAATTATAATGAAATATAAAATTAATTATAATTAAAATATTAGATATTCTAATATAATATAATTAATTAAATATTTTATAAATTATAATTATATTATGATATATTCATCATTTAATTATTATTAATTATATTGAGACGATATTTATTAAAATTATATAATTTAAATTCTTAGAATTATATTATTTGATGTTAAATTCACGTAACTATTCTATTAATGTTATAAATTTTTAATAATATTAGTATTTATTACATCATCCGGTTCGACCCCGGTTTGACCGATCGAACCGGTCGAGCCTTGAACCTCTCCTTCTTCCGGTTCTTTGTCCGGTCCGGTTTTCACAACCTTGCCAATTGTTGTATATTTAATTAATAGAATAACCTCAAAAGTGATTTTGCTTCAAAAGTTCTATAGCCTATATGGCTAAATTCTTCCCCACAAATGATTTTCTCTCAAAAAAATCTTTCAAAAATATTTAAAAGCATTCTCTATTTTCAAACCCACAAAGAACATAGGAGTAACATGGATCTTAAAACTTTTAAATGTCTCTTTCTTGATCATTCTCTATTTAAAAGGAGGATTATTACCAGTTTACCACTATACAACAACAACACCACCACCAACAGCATCAAGCCTTTATCCCAATACATGGGGTCGGTTACATGAATCATTTTTCTTCATTGTGTCCTGTTACGACTTAAGAGTCAAATTTTCATTTAAATCTAAAATAGAAATGTCATTTCTAATATTTTATAACCATGCCCTTTTAGGTCTTCCTCTACCTTACTTAACATAAGTCAAATCTAATAAATCTACTTTCCTAACCTGGTCATCGGAAGGCCACCATTTTATGTGACAAAATCATTTAAGAAGACTCTCTAATCTTATCTTCCACTGGAGCCACTCCAACCTTTTCATGTATATACTCATTTCGTATCCTATCTCTAAGAATAAAGCAACTCATCTATCTGGGCATTCTCATCTCTACAACACTTAATATTATGCTTCTCTTTGAATGAGCAACATTCTGCACCATAAATTATTATAGGTTTCACCACCATCTTATATAATTTTCTCTTAAGTTTGAAGGGGACTTTTATATCACACAACGAGTCTGATGCATTCCTCCACTTCAACCATCCAACTTAAATTCTGCTAATAATATCCATATCTATTTCACAATCACTTTAAACAATAGACCCAAGATATCTAAAACATGCTCTTATTAATGACTTGATCTCCCCAAAGTCACAAACCCTCCTCTATCTAATACTACTAAAATTACATGCCATATATTGAGCTTTAGATCTACTCAAATGAAAACCTTTAAACTCTAATGTTGACCTCCATAACTTAAGTTAACCTTCAACTCCCTCTCTAGTACTATCAACAAGAATAATATCATTAGAAAAAAGCATACACCTAAGTAAAACATCTTGCAAATGTCTAGTGAGAACATCCATGACTAAAGCAAAAGGATATAGGTGTAAGGCTAATCCTTGATGTAATCTAACAGAATTAGAAAAAATACTTGGTTAAACCACCTTGTGTTTGAACACAAGTAATAGCACCTGCATACATATCCCTAATAACTTGAATAAAAGTATTATTAACTCATTTCTTTTCTATAACTTTCCATAGCACTTCTCTTGGAACTTTATCATATACTTTCTCTAAATCAATAAATAACATATGAAGATCCTCCTTATTCTCTCTATGCTTCTCAATCAAACCTCTCAATAGAAGTATAGCTTCCATAGTAGACCTACCCGGAATGAATCCAAATTGATTTTGAGAAACATTAGTATCACATCGTAACCTATGACAGCGTAAAACTTTAGACCTACCCGACATATTAAACACTATCGTTGCTAGGTCTCAAGTGTTGGATGAGAAAAGTGGGGTGTTGTATTAAGTAGTTAACAGCCAGCATAAAACTTATCAAATAATCATGACATGAATCCTTTAATACATTGTAAGTATTTCCACCATAAAAAAATAAAACTAACAAAAAAGAAACTTCAAAAGATGTCACCTTTTATAAGAAGCAAAGTTTTTTCAAACACACTTATCTTCGAGAGGAGAACTCTCAACTAGAAGATAAATTTGTTGAAATATCTTTCACGTTGACATTCCTACAACACAAACGTAAAAAAATTTAAATATTGTACCACTTTAATAAAAAGAATAAACCTAACCAAAATCTCCAGCAAGTCCAAAATTTAGAAAGATTATCAAGTACGAATCATTAACTCATCACTATATATTCCCCTCTGTATCCCATCTCCCAATACACATTTTTTCAAAAAATTTCTCCTACTCATAAAACCTTATAAATATCAACTCTAACTATATTACAATACCACAACTCTATTTCAGACGCTTGAAAATAAGAATTGGAATGATGCCATTGGGAAAGAGATGAATACTTTGAGAAAAAATTACTTGGAAAATTGTTGAACTATTAAAAGGGAAGAAAATGATAGGATGTATATGAATTTTTTTATAAAATATAGAAAAGCAAAAACCTAGATCAGCATAAAAAAAAGATTGGCAATCAAATGATATACTCATTCCAATAGAATTGACTACCAATAAATGTTTGTTCTTATTATGAAAATGTATATCATATGTATCTTAATTTCTCTCGTAGTCAATCATGGGTGGTCAACACAGTGGTATGATATAAAGAATGCTTTTCTATATAAGAATGTTAAAGAAAAAGTCTGCATGAATCTATCACCTAAATTTGATAGTTCATTTATAAAAACAAAGTGTACAAATTACAAAAGCTCTATATGACCTTAAACAATCTTTAAAAGCATGATTTGACATATTCACAAAAATCATGAATAAAGCTGGATACAAACAAAGCTAAGGATATCATACCCCCTTCATAAAATGCTCAACTAAAGGTAAAATCTCAATTCTCATTATATGATATAATTATCATAGGAGATGACAATAGAGAAAAGATGTTTCTCAAAAAAAAAAATCATGCTGAATAATTTGAAATCATAAAATTAAGAATACTCATATACTTCTTGCAAATCAAAGTTGCTTAGTTAAAATAAGACATGTTCCTATAAAACAAAAATGTCTTGAATCTTTTGGAAAAAAATTTAATAATAATTGATTATAAATCTTGTGAAATATCAACTAAATCAAGTCAAATATTGAACAGAGATGAAGAAAAAAAAATGAGAATTGATAATATCAAAAATTATTTAGAAAAATGATCTATCTCACACTAATCCACATAACACATTTACAATGAGTCTCATTAGTCAATTAATGCACAAACTAAAAAACCATCTTCAAGCTGCTTATAGATTATACCTTAAATCAAATCCTGGTAAATGAAATTTCTATAAAAAGAATGATTTTTTATAAATTGAAAGATGTCTTGATGCAAACTGTATAAGATCATTACTGTATAAAAGATCCACGAATGGATACTGCACTTTTTTTGGGAAGAAATCTCATGACTGAGAGAAGCAAGAAATAACTGTTGTTTCAAGATAAAACGTTGAATTTGAATATAAAGTTATTATCAAAAAAATCAATGAGCTTCTATGATTCATAATCATTTTAGAATATTTAAATATCAAATGAAAATGATCAATAAAGATATAAGCTGACAATAAATCTACCATCAGAATCATTTATAATCCAGTATACAATGATCTTACCAAGCATATGGAGAGAAACTCGAAAGTGTGTTGATTTGCACTCTATATATGCCAACAGGAATTAAATTTACAGACATTCTCACCAAAGGACTCTACAACCTTATGTTCAAAAATATTATAAGCAATTTAGGAATAGTATATTTATATGATCTAGTTTGAGAGAGTTTTGAATAATCACGGAACCTAGAAGTCAACAAATCTTGGTAGAGATCCTTGAGCGCATTGATTAACGATTCTAAACATTGAATTATCCTCTTATGACCCTTAAATTGAAATATGTGTGCCTCCACTTCCTCTTCTAGCCGCTGCCCATCTAGGGACTTTTTTTCCTTACCTTAAATAGTTTTGATTTTTTTCCATTGTAAAACTTCGAAAAAATCTATATATGTTTTCACACTTTATACAATGTACGATGATAACAAAATGTAAACGACATGACTGACAATTTATCAATTACTAAGAAGCGTATTACAAACATTAAGAAAAATGCTCCTAACAAAGAATGAAACATTTACCATTCAATAAAAAAATAACCTACCTTGAGTTGCAATACTTGGAATCACGCTCTCACAAGATCTAAACAGACGGGTGACTATCAATGTATCATATATACATGATACATAAATACAAGCATATAAAATCAAATAGTGAATTAATATATGTGCTACCAAGGTTACTCCATAATCAACACCAACTAATTATAATTATTGTAAAGATTAAACCTATCTTTATGAACATTAAATTATAATTTTTTTCCAATTGCAAAAATTGAAAGATGATTTCTGACATCTAATTAAAATCTATATTAACCCAATCCAACTTACATAATAATTAACACAATAATTAATCTACTGTAAAGTTAAAGAGTTAATAACCTTTCACCAAATTGCATGGAGAGGATAAACCAACAGTATCTCAAGGATAATAAAGAGGAAAGAGAATACAAGGAAGAAGAGGAGGGAGATGATGATTCACTATTGTTGCAGTTGATTCTTTAGCTAAAGTAGGGAAAGGCTTACAGTTGGTAGCACGAAAGAAGAAGGATAAATGCGGGCGGTTGTTGGCAGCTTGGAGAAGTAACAAGTGGAAGGATTTGCAATGCCCTAACATCTATCTTCTTAAATCAAGAGTTGAGGCAGTTGAAGATATGAAATTTTTGTGTTGATGGCAAGCTGAAAGCTCGAGCAATCTTCATGAAAGAGTAGGGGCATCGATTGTGTAAACAAAAGTGCTTTATTTGGGACTAGTCCAGTTCTGCTCAATCTCGTTTCACCACAACAGCGAATTTCAAAAATTAGTAAAAAAGTAACAATTCAGATTCAGTAAAAACCAACCTAAACAACTGGATTGCAACAAATGCCCAATTAAACCCTTCTTGTTTTACTACAGTGCCAAATATTACAGAATTATAATGGAACAACAAAATCACAACTACAATGAACCCATTTAAAATGGATCATAGCAACCCCACTTCATTAAGGCAAGCAATCAACAACAGATAGAAGATGGAAACATCCATATCAGTGGAATCTAAATTACCAAATCAGTAATGATGTGATACAGTGTCAGCACCTAGTTCCATCTATATAGCCATCATCAGCTTCTCAAGTGTTTTGACAGATAGCGACTAAGTCGTGATGAGTGTATTCCCTCTCAGGAGAATCCCTAAAAGGACATGCCCGGGACCACCAGAGGAACTCGCCCAAAGAGAACAACAGGAATTACTCGCCCACATCCGCCAAAGGCTCGCCCTATGTTGGGTGACTAGGAAGTTCCAAATTAAGCAAATAGATCGCCACATATCTCAATCAGATCTCCCCTCTGAGCTCACCAAACTCAACTATAGGAAAGTGCCTACCTCAAGGACTTCACACTCCATTCGACTGTCACTACTCGGCTCAAGGACTCTTCATCCCCGCAAACAACTCTACTCGCCTTTCATGACAAAGCGACCTTGAACTCCCTACGCCAATCGACAACCTGATTAGATGACTCGTCAAGTACGGATTCATCTCCTCTCAGGAATCTCTCATAGATTCTCCCTACACCTACTCGCCTCTCTTGAACTTGCTCAATGACACAAACAGCTCACCAGACATAGACTTCGCCCTCTTACAGCCTAACAAGAGGTAACACATGTCCTGGATTAGCGTGTAGTGTTATACGAGTATTCTAGGTGTAACATATATGTTTACTTTTGCAAGAAAAACTTTCTTGTTGCCCTCAAAACCCTATGAACAAAGGGTGGGACCAATTTGGGACCCTTTTTTAGACCTTTTAGACTCTTCTATGTCTTTTGGGCCTCTAGAGTCCTACTTCCTATATTTTTTTAAAGATAGTGGAGATTCCTCCAGCTTACTCTTTCCTCTCTAATCATTCTATTCTCAATTCTCACTAATAGATTCTCAGCTCAGCAGATAGAGATGCTAGTAAAGTTAAGTATCATCCACTGAATAAATATTATTCAACAACATCTAAGCATTTAAAATAAAATAGCAAATCCGTGTCTTTGTGTGTGATACAACCAAACCATTAAGAATTGGGGATATTCCAAACCTTCTGACCTATGCAACTGGCAACCAGAGGGAGATACAACCCATGCATTTATATCATATTGTATACAACATTCATTGATCACCTAAGAGTAGTTAATGGGAATTTATATCCAGCGAAGAATGGAGAGAGATGGGGTGGTATATTTGAGGTGTTTGATAAGTAATATATAGTTGAGATTCTACGCTTGATGTAACGAGTTGTGATGACGGAATGTATCTTAATTGAACAGTGCATTATGGGGATATAAAGGTTTTACTTAAATTGGGGTCATGACATTTGTAGTATTTCTGTGAAGAAGCATATTAATGAAGATGCAACTAGTTGAGTTAGGCATCAATTTGTCAACAATATAAGCAGAGCCACAGAAAGCATTGGCATACAAATATTTGTATGAGAATTTGGTGGTAATTTGTTGCACAGTAGCAAATATATAGATAAATATTTGGTTGTTGGAGAGGGCAACCTATTTAATAGGTAGAAAGCCATTAACACTATTATATCTACCGAATCAATTCGGCTTCAAGCATTAGCATGCCAATCATTTTGATGAGATGACAATCTTTGTGTTCGGCTACTCGATTTTATTCAAGGGCATAGAGATATGTTGAACCCATGTGAAAAATAATGCTTGAATGTTAGAATTAGTGTATTCTCCATCTTCATTAGAACTAAGTATTTAAATTTTATATTGAATTTTCATTCAACCAAGTTTTTGAACTAAATGAAGTTAGAGATTGTTTCATATTTGTTTTTCATAGGAAATTCCCAATAGAATCAAGAGAAGTCATCAATAAAATAAATATAAATTTCTATCTATGATTAGAGATAGTTGGATAGGTTCCCTATACATCACAATGGATGAGTTTTAGAGGTATATAACTATGTGACGTGGATGCAGCAAATGGAAATCTAGTAATGGGTACATCGGAGCTTAGAAAGTCTATCAGAGACGTGGCCGCCGATCTACGGCCACGATCAAGTCGATGTATTTTTTATTAGTATTATGTATTTGTCTTTTATTATCTTATGATTGTATTTGCTTTTGTTATTTTCCGCTCTTACCCCTTAAGGGAGGTCATGTGTAAGCCCAAAGGGCATTGTCGTCTTTTTTAATTTTGACTCCTTTGTATGAGACTATATATAGCCCTTATGTTCTCTTTTCATGTTTAAAGATTAAATGATAAAAATTTTCCATTGTTTGAGTTCCTGTGTGAGAGCTTGAGAGTGCTAGGGAGAGAAACCCCTTGAAAAGGGAATCGCATCACCCACCAGCCTTGGAAGAGTCTGGGCTCATGGTTAGTTCTCTTATTTCGTCTTCCCTCCACCAAATACCTCCGGCCCACCATCCCCCTCACCACCCCAAGCCGCCGAACACTTTAGCCTCACCCTCACCGTCGGATAAACCCCACATCTGCATCACCACCCGAGCCTACCTCTCTTTCCCCCAACACCACCCACGGCCAAACCGCAAGCCGCCAGCCCTCCCTTTGGTTTCCTTCCATCTTCACTCACCATCAAGCCTTTCCTAAATTAGGTTTCTTATTTTAGGTAACCGAATTATTAATCAAATTCAAATCTATTTGCATTTGAAATAGTTGCCTAAATTCTAAATCCTATTTTAGGAAATTTCCAAATTCATAACCTATTTGAATTTTAAATTAAATTGGGATGAAATCATTCATTCCAAATTTAATTTATTCATTTAAGGAAGCATTGATTGCCTTCATAAACCCTCCACCCTCACCCCATAGCCGCCGGCCCCCTCTCTTGGATCTAATTGTAATTGTTTCCAAAATTCCACTAAGCTCTCTTGGAAATAATTCCTATTTCCCCTCCATCCCTCTTGGCCGAAATCCCCCCATGCCCCTACCTATTTAATTTCTTTCCAAAGATAATTTCTCCAATGGAATTAAATTGAATCGCTCTCCCTCTCTCTTTCCCGCCGCCCCTCTCTCTCTCTCTCCCATCTTTAACTCCTCTCAATCAATAGGATTAATTAGGAAGTTATTTGAATTAATTTCCCTCCACAAAATCTGAACCTAACTTAATCCCCTACCCTCCTTCATTGCCCGGCCACCCTTGCCCGCTTCCCCGCTTCCCCGCTTCAACTCTTGAGAGAAACTTCTTTCTCTCTCGAGAAGTCTTCAAGGGAAGCAACCACAAACTTCTTCCACGCATCAACCCCTTCGACACCGATGAATGGCCGATCCATAGCTTGACTACGGATTCACTTACGACGAGTAAGGGAACGTCAACATCCACCACTCCACCTTCTTCGACTTCAACCCGGAAGTCGATAATTCCATTGAAGAGTACGTGGACCGCATCATCTTCACGCTTTCGGAGGCCATCGACGAGCAACTTGCCAACGTCCAGTGACAAATTGTTTCAGGACAATAGAAAGGGTGAATTTGTTCCCTCTTCATTTATCTTTCTAATATGCTAACCTTGTAGGTGGTGATTTAATCACAAAGTTCTCGTGCGTCGCCTTCTGCATGCGCTTAGTAAACGTAGGATTTGAGTTTACTTTTTATGTTGCTCATCTCAATGTTAGATTAGGGATTTTTGTTGAATAATTATTTAATTCGCATGTTGTTGAAATTCTAAGTTGTTTTGATAATTCAAGTGCTTAGCATGTGATTTGGCCTAAGCGTAGATACCCCTCTTACGTTTTCTTTTATAGTTTTGATTGCTAATAGTCTTAATTGTTGTTTGTTCTTATCACAATCGTGCAAGTTCTTAGCGCATTCCTTTAAAAGCATTATAGTCAGGCATCATCTGGTATCAGAGCATGGTTTGCTCTTAGTGCATGTGCTAGGATCCATCGTAGAGTTCTTTTTACCATCGTTAAGCTTTGTTAGTTGTTCCAACATTGCATTCCTTTCATTTAGCACCTTTTATGTTTGTTGTCCATACAATTATTGCATACATTTTGTAAGCTTTAAGTGTGTTTTCATTCATATAAATTGTTGTCCTTTACATCCTAGTCACCATAGGAGTTCCGTAGTGAATCCCAATGGACCCGGAACAACTTGGAAAGACTTTAGACTAACTGGTTGGTCAAATGACTACAATTAGCAAGCAACTTAAAGAGAATCAAGCCTACCTAGCTGAACTTCGTATGGACACAACTAAATGTTTTGACACACTTGAACGCTCTAGGGATCATCCAACCCCCTACACCCCATCTAGACCTCCTTCTATGTATAGGGATGATACCTATCAAGATGAGAGGCTGCATCGTGCCACTCATCGAGCTCCTTAGTATGCACACAACCATAACCATGACCTGACATAACACTGATGAAGAACATGAAAGTCGATGCTCCTACCTTTGAAGGAACCATCTATCCCCAGCTCTTTCTAGACTGGGCCAAAGGTATTGATAGCTTCTTCAAGTGGTATAATATCTCTGAGGGTAGGAATGTTAGTTTTGCTAAGATGAAGCTCACGGGTAGGGCAAGTCAGTTATGGTCCAATTTAGAAAGCCTTAAAGAAGCCCGAAACGAGTATCCCATCACTGACTGGCCATCCATGAAGCATAAACTTAAGCAGAAGTACTTGCCTCCCTCATACTTCCCCAGATTGTTGGATAGGTGGAATAGGCTGACTCAAGGCAACAAACCAGTTAAAGAGTACATTGCGTCCTTTGATGACTACATGATTCGCTGCAAAGGGGAGACCTCTACCACCCCCAC